AGTATGTGGCGAGTACATCAGGCATGGGACTTGTCCTTGGAGGGAAGCAGCCAGTTACACTGACAGGTTTCTCGGACTCGTCATGGGCCGACGACGCGGAGACGCGTCGGTCTACACAGGGGTACTCCTTTAGCCTCGGGACAGGTGCTGTTTCGTGGCGGTCGACTCGGGCGTCGTCCGTCGCCGGTTCCAGCTGTGAGGCAGAGGTGTACGCAGCGGCCATGGCCGCCCAGGAGCTTCGCTGGTTGTCTTTCCTTCTCACCGACCTTGGTGAGCGGCCTCGCTCTCCCCCAGTCTTGTTCGCCGACAACAGGTCTACTGTCCTGTTGTGTGAGGAGCCCCGACTGATTGGGAAGGCGAAGCACATCCAGCTTCGTTACTTCCTTCTGCGTGAGTTGCAGCAGCGTGGCCAGGCACTCGTTCGACGTGTGGTCTCTGAGGCCAACACGGCAGATATCTTCACCAAGGCGTTGCCGCCTTGTGACCACCAGCGTTTCTGCACCCAGCTTGGCCTTGTGCCTGCCCGTCCTCACTTGCTTACGTAGAGATGCCTTGTCCTGCATGTCTTGTACTCTTGCATCTCTTTATATTTGTTATACACCTGCATGTGGACTGGCCTTGTGGCCCCTTGCTTGCTCTCGGCGTGTGTGGTGACTTTGAGCTCCACCCTGAGATTTGTCTTGTTCTTGTGGACTGGTCTTGTGACCGTTGCTTGTTCTTGTTGTTTCTCCAGGACTACCGTCACCTAGACTATGGGGGTGTGTCAAACTATTATTCTATAGTTTGTGTAGTTCTAGTCTAGGTGTTCTCCCTTGTGTTATTTTGTACTTGCACTAGGGTTAGGTTTTGCATATATCTTGTTTGTATTTCCTGTTTTAGTCAATTATACATTGTGACAGCTGGTTCTGGGGGTGCTGGTTCTGGGGGTGCTGAGTGTCCTCTGGGTACCGGAGGTACTGGAGGTACTGGTGCTGGTGGTCCTGCTACGAGTCGGCAGGAGGCTCTCTCGCCGGAGCGGCTTCGCAAGTGGGCTGTCCAGTGGGGCAGCCCTGGTGGTGGAGCTAGCCGTCTTAGGGCGGGAGGTGCTGGGACTGCTGGAGCTGGAGGTACTGGCACTGCTTGAGCTGGAGGGTCTGGTACTGGTGGTACTGGGGTTGCTCGTGCTGGTAGCACTGGTGCACATCGACAGGAGACTCTCTCGCCGGAGCGGCTTCGCGAGTGGGCTGTACAGTGGGGCAGCCCTGGTGGTGGAGCTAGCCGTGCTCGCTCTCCTAGAGCTGGAGGTACTGGAGGAGCTGCTGCTGTGGGTACTGCTGCGGACAGTCCTGGTGGTGGCGCTGGACGTGCTGGAGCTGCAGGTTCTGGAGGTGCTAGCCCTGGAGGTGCTAGTCCTGGTGTTCCTGGTACTGGAGGCACAGGTGCTGCTAGAGGTGCTGTAGGTGCAGGTTCTAGAGGTGCTAGCCCTGGAGGTGCTAGTGCTGGTGTTCCTGGTACTGGAGGCACATGTGCTGCTGGAGGTGCTGGAGGTGCAGGTACTGCTGGGGGTGCTGGAGGTGCTACTGGAGGTACTACTGGAGGTACTGCTGGAGGTACTGGAGTTAGTGGTGCTCTTCGGCAGGAGTCGCTCTCGCCGCTGCAGCTTCGCGAGTGGGCTGTTCGTTGGGGCGGTTTCGGTGGTGGAGCTGGAGGCGCTGGTTCTGGGGGTGTTGTTGCTACTGGAGCTGGAGGTTCTGGGGGTGCGACTACACCGCCGCAGCCGTCTGTGCTTCGTCACCTTTTCAGTCTCCTGCGTGTTGCTACAGAGTTCCCGGTTCCTGGTTCTACTCCTCTGTTGCTGTTCCCACCGACTGACCAGTCTCAGCCACAGCTACTGCCTGGATCCCCGCTGCCTGCTCCTGCTCTTCACACTGAGGTCACAGCGTCCCTGACTGCGCGTCGTGAGCCTGATACTCGTGCTTCCACTCCTGAGCATTGTGAGCCTGAGACTCGTGCTTCCACTCCTATTCGCGGTCGTCGTGTTGTCCGTCCTCGTGCTCCAGCTGTGCCAGGCACTCACCGTATGGCACTTCGTCCTTCCTATGTTCCACAGCGTGTTGTTCTGCCGTCTACTCCCGCGTCTTCCCTTCCTCACGTTCCTGACCCTGAGTCAGACCTTGTCCGTGCTGCCAGTCCGACTGTCACTCGTCTCCTTGCCACGGTTGTGACTGACCCTTCTTTTGAGTCTGCTGCTACGCCTGCCTTAGTTGCTGAGCTTGTTGACTTTGCTGCTTTGTGCCGCCTTGACTACGCTGCGAGTCTTGTTTTTTACTCTTCCTGTCCTCCGTCCGTCGGGGGTGAGCTTTCCCTTGGCTGTGACGTTCTTGACGACAGGCAGTTTGAGCTGGAGTGCCTAGCGGCAGCTGCACCTCATCTCGCGTCCACGCTACTTTGCCCTGAGGGAGACCCGGATGCACTGGACATCCCGACCCCGCGCACTTACGCAGAGGCGATCACGGGTCCGTACTCCTCTCATTGGCAGATAGCCATGGACGCAGAGATGGCTTCCTGGAAGTCCACAGGCACCTACGTCGACGAGGTTCCCCCACCTGGGGCGAACATAGTCGATGACATGTGGATTTTCAGGGTGAAGCGGCCGCCGGGTTCTCCGCCTGCCTTCAAGGCGCGTTACGTTGCACGAGGCTTCAATCAGCGTGAGGGGGTCGACTTCTTTCAGACCTTCTCCCCCACCCCGAAGATGACCACTCTTCGGGTGCTACTGCACGTTGCAGCACAGCGCGACTACGAGCTGCACTCCCTCGACTTCTCGACAGCCTTCTTGCAGGGTAGCCTTCACGAGGCTATCTGGTTGCGCCGTCCACGTGGCTTCACTGGGTCGTTTCCTGAGGGTACCCAGTGGAGTCTTCGGCGACCAGTCTACGGCCTCCGACAGGCACCCCGCGAGTGGCACGACACACTGAGGACTACACTTGCGGCTCTTGGCTTCGCTCCCTCGACTGCTGACCCTTCGCTGTTTCTGCGCACAGACACTTCTCTGTCGGCGTTCTACGTTCTTGTGTACGTTGACAACTTGGTTTTTGCTACTGCTGACACTGAGGCTCTGGCCTTGGTGAAGGCGGAGCTGCAGGAGAGACACACTTGCACTGACCTGGGTGAGCTGCGGAGCTATCTTGGCTTGCAGATCACCGGGGAAAGAGCACGCCGCACCATCACCCTCACTCAGTCACACATGGTGCAGCAGGTCCTTCAGCGCTTCGACTTCACGTGGTCCTCACCACAGCCAACTCCTCTGTCTACCGGCCGCTCGCTCTCAGCTCCACCTTCGGACGAGTCCGTAGAGCCGAGTGGTCCGTACCCAGAGCTTGTGGGTTGCCTCATGTACCTGATGACGTGCACCCGACCTGACCTAGCGTACCCTCTCAGCCTCCTTGCTCGCTACATGGCTCCCGGTAGACATCGAAAGATGCACTGGGATGCTGCGAAGAGGGTATTGCGTTACTTGTGTAGCACATCGAGCATGGGGCTCGTGCTTGGAGGACCGGGTTCGGCTGTTCTCACCGGTCACTCAGACGCTTCTTGGGCTGACGACCAGACGACTCACCGGACGACACAGGGGTACAGTTTCAGCCTCGGCACTGGTTCTGTCTCGTGGAGGTCCACTCGCTCTTCTTCTGTACTTAGTTCCAGCTGTGAGGCGGAGATCTACGCTGGGGCTATGGCTGCACAGGAGCTCCGCTGGCTGACCTACCTGCTGACTGACTTGGGTGAGTGACCTACCTCCAGTTCTGTACGTCGACAACAAGGCAATGATTGCCTTGTGTCAGGACCAGAGACTGGAGCACAGAACGAAGCACATTGCTCTCCATTACTTCCTCACGCGAGAGTTGCAGCAGCGTGGTCAGCTTCGTCTTGCTTACGTGGCCACACGGGCTAACACTGCTGATGTCTTCACCAAGGCCCTTGGGTCTAGTGATCATCAGCGTTTCTGCACTGCTCTTGGGCTTGTGCCCACTCTGCATCACTTGCTTGTCTCTTGATCTTGCTCTTGTTGTACACTGGTATTTATGAGTATTCCTGCATGTTTACACTTGCTAGGTTGTGATCAGTGTACTGCTCTTTGCTATTATAAACTCTGCATGTGAACTGGCCTTGTGGCCGCTTGCTTGTGCTCAGAATGCGTGGTGATATTGAGATCCACCCTGAGCTTTGTTCTGCTTTGCTTCTCCTCTTGACTGGTCTTGTGACCCCTTGTTGTCCCCCACTTTGCCTATGGGGGTGTGTCAAAACATGTTTATATCATGTTAGTGATGTTAGGCTGTAGTGGGTTACTCCCTATGGGGTACAACCCTTTGTTAAGGTTGCTACTTGTACCACTCATCCTGCTGTAGTCAATCATTTCCGTTTCCTGATTCTGACACTTGTGGCCTAGCATACTGATTCAGCGATTGGTTCGACCTGAATTGGGCTGCCTCGTATGACCTTTGGTGCTGCCTCTGTCACCGCATATGCAATTTATGCAGATACAATAACAGTAGAATAAAGGTGTAGGAGGCAGAATTGTATATTAGGATATATGCACTTAATGCATATATGGCGACACTAGCATGGGGCGCGGAATGTAGTACAGTAACGGTTGCAATAGGCAAAAGAGGGGGGAACAAAAAGGGGACGGTTGGAATTACGGGGGAAAGCACCGAGGGGCGAAATGGGAAACCAAATCCTCACCCCGAGCCGCGCATTGGGAAATGTGCAGCCTGGGGTGAGGATGGGTAAGGTCACTCACATTCACCCACTCGATGCTTGTTTCTTATTATTCTCTCATATCAGTGGAAGTTAGCACTTTTTAGCTCTTAGCACACAGTGGTACGCCACCAGGAGGGAACCAGTGGGGTGAGGGAGTGATCCCGTTCATAATAAGAAACAAGCGTAGGCACGTACTATGGATAAGTGTGAGTTGCGATGGGGCCGGGTCTTCACCCGTCGAGAGGAGGAAGGGCCGCAGCATGAGCGCTCGTAGGAGCGTGGGCATTCCCTAGAGAGATCGCCCCGAAGGCCGGCCTTCCATGCAGATAGAGTTCCCGTTGTGCTGGCCAGCCGAGAGAGAGAGGCGGCGCAGGGCGTATCTGGTGGCAGCAGACTCGATACATCGACGAGCGGCGCGCCATGGCGGAGAAACACATTCCACCTGCGCGGCGACGAGCACCGCCACCCGCGCGACGAAGGGGTGTTCCGCTCCCCAGAAGGGGGAGGCCGGCGACGTGATGAGCGAGGTCGCTGGCGTGGGAGGGAGGGACTCCCGCGGGAGCGAGGAGAAGGCTCGGGCGTCCGACGGGCTGAACAGGATCCGCGGGCCGAGCGGACGCGGGAGGAGAGTGACGAGGAGGAGGCGGGGAACGAGGAGGAGGCGGGGAACGAGGAGGCTGAGCAGGAGTACGGCGACGAGCCGGCGTACGACAACGGGCAAGGGTACGGCGACGAGCGGGAGCACGGCGACGAGCAAGAGTACGGCGACGAACAGGAGCACGGCGAGGAGCAGGAGCACGGCGACCCGCAGCAAGATGGCGACGAGCAGACGCGCGCAAGACCTCACGTCCCGAGCGGAGCCGAAGAGGGAGAGCGCGCGCCCAGCGCGGAACACGCCGACACCGCGGCGACAGCGGAGGAGGAAGAGGGAGAGGCGCGGGAGTAGGGGTCACGTGCCACGGACCCCAACCGTCTGGAATGGCAGTACGCCCGCGATGCGCTGCAGCAGGAAGGCCGGACTCGTGAGGGAGAGGCACACGCGGTGCAGCCGCAGGGAATGCGCGGACGGAGCGAGGCGGAGGACAGGCGCGGAGTCCAGCGACGGCGGGCGGAGCCGAGGGACGGAAGCTCGCTCTCGTCAAGAGAACCGCCGCCGAGGGCCGAGCGGTACGGGGACGCGGAAGGAAGGCAGAGAGGAGTGGAGGAGAATATGGTCCGCTCGGCGGCTCGACCGCATGCACATGGAGGAAGCCGTGGCGGGGAGCATCGCTCGCCAGAGACGCAGCTGCACTGGGAGGGGCGCCGGAAGGGAGGATCATGCTCACCGTACAGGCGGCAGCAGTGGGGGGAAGGGCCCAGAGGAGGCGCCGTTGGCGAGAGGGAAGGCGGGAGGAAGCAGGCCGCTCGCCGCATGGCATACGACAGCAGGGCAAGGGAAGGGAGGAGTGGTCGCCACCCCCAGCGAGACGTCAGCCGCGTGAAGCCGGCCCGAGGGAATGGGAGCAGAGTCACTACTCGCCGGCACGGCGATGGGAACCGGCGGGAAGGGAGGAGGGTCAGCGGGGACACCCGGGAGAGACGCGCGGAGAGCAGCTGGAGAGCAGGGCCAGGACTGGCAGCTTGGAGCAAGGGGCTGAGCGTGCACGAATGGCCAGAGAGGGCCTGGAACGAGCTGGGCAAAAAGGGGGGTATGGGAGACCGCGGGGAGGGGTGAGTGAGTCGTGGAGAGAGGGAAGAGGGGGCGCGGCCACGGCGACAAGGGTAGAGGTGCCGGCCAGGTTCTCAGGCGATCAGCAGGCGGGGCCGTCGCTCAAGAACTACCTGATGCAAGTGGGGAATGTGAAGTATCGGTGTGACCGGAATGGCATGGACCCCATAGACTTCTTCTTGAGCCTGCCAAATACCTTGGATGGGGAAGCCGAGACTCTGTACCGTATGAGGATGGAGGAGCTGCTGTGGAGGGCAGGGAGGTACGGGGAAGACCCAACCGAAGCGTTCTTGGAGCGGTTGCAGCGACAGTTCCCAGGGCACACGGCGGAAAGGATAAGGGAAATCAGGAATTCAAGCGAGGAAGGGCAGAGTCACTACTGGCGTACTACAATCGGCTGATCAACGTAGCTGAGGATGTGAGGTGCACGGATAGTAGCCTCCTGATCAGTAAGTTCCTGGGGGGCTTGGACGAGGCACTGGGAGGCGGGCTGCGGATGAAGGTGTATGAGCTGGGCGCGGAGGCAAGACTGGAGGAGGTGTTCGAGCTAGCCGAAAGAGTGGAGCTCGCACAGAGGAAGTATGAGGCATACCTACCCAGACAGCTGGAGAGAGGCCGCAGGCCAACCTGGGCGGCAGCCATTATACCAGAGGAACGAGGGAAGGTAGAGGAGCAAGGAGAGGCACGGGCAGAAACCAGGAGCTGCCACCGCTGTGGACAGCCAGGGCACCTCCGCAGAGATTGCAAGAACTGTGATGGGTGCGGGAAGCCGAGACACCACAAGCGAGAGTGTCCTGATGCCGCCAGGTGCGAGGTGTGCAAGAAGAAGGGGCACGAGGCCAAGGACCGCTATCAGAGGGAAGGAGGAGCCAGGAGGAGCCCGGAAGAGTTGCAGCGACAGATCAGCAGGCTGCAGGCGCAGCTACAGGCAACGGGACCAAGATGGGGGGCAGAGGCAGGGATGTATACGAGAGACGAGGAGGGAGATGAGGTGGAGCAGGACGTGCAGTGCGCACTCATGGCATGGAGGGGAAGAGAGGAGATGGGGCTGAGGAGCGGAGGGAAGGACGGCAGGCAGGAGCAGAGCAGGAAGGTCCGGGAGAAGGGGCAGAAACCAGAGGGTCCAGGGTTGGTTCCGCCGCCAGCACGCCATCCACAGGAGAGGCTGGCGTGTCAGACCTCAGTGTTGCTGCTGGAAGAGGGGGCTATGGAAGTGGAAGGAGAGAAGGTAAAGATTGCCATCATAGACACGGGGGCACAGAGCGTGATGCTAGGCAAAGGGATGGCTGAGAGGCTGGGGCTCTTGGCTCCAGAAAGGCATGTGAAAAGGGGGATGTTGGTGATGACAGCAGAAGGGGGGGGGCGAAGTGGATGCCCTGCTCTCGGGCACCCATAGAGGTGACACTACTGCCAGGAGGGGAGCATGAAACCAAGATCAGAATGAAGTGTGGCATCTCTGAGTCTGAGGATTTTGACGTGTTAGTGGGCACAGAGCTGGTGTTTGCGGTGGGCATGACCATCTGCACGTGGACAGAGAGGGTGGCGTTCCGAACACTGTACTGGAAGAAGAAGGGGCCACTAGGGGAGCTGCCAGTACGATTCGTGAAGGTGGAGCCCAAGAGAGCGTATCAGGCCATGGCGGGGCAGGAAGCGGAGACAGCAGAGGCGGGGAAGCGCAAGGGAGTGGGCGGGACCATGGAAGTGCCCAGAATGAGGATGATGGATGAGCCGAGGCGGCAGAGCGACTGGCAGCAGCCCATCCGCTTGGTGGAGTTGTTTGGAGGGGTTGGGGCGGGATTAGCAGCAGTGGTGAGGAGTGGGCTTGCAGTACAGAAGTGGGTGTATGTGGAACGGGAGTTAGTGGTGAGGAAGATGGCTGAGCATCACGCGTGGAAGCTGCAGGCGGAGTTCCCAGAGCTCCTGAGTGCGGGGGTGATCCGTGAAGCCATGAAGAGAGACAGTCATGATGTGGCTCGGCTGACAGAGGCGGAGGTGGCCAGCTGGGGGCAGGTAGATCTGCTGGTGGCTGGATGGGAGTGCCAAGGGGTGTCATGGGCGGGCAAGGGGAGAGGAAAGGGGGACCCGAGGACACAGCTGATGGAGGACCTCTTCCGCATCCTGGAATGGCTGCAAGAGAGGCAAGGCAGGGTGGCATACCTGGTGGAAAACCTGGACTTAGAAGGGGACAGCAGGGAGCCAATACGGCTGGTACGGGAGAGGATCAAGGAGCAATTGGGAGAAGGGGTGAGCAGTGATGCGGCCAGAATGGGGTCACTGGCTCACCGATTGAGAATGTATTGGCAGAACATAGTCCCAGCACTGAAGCTGCAGGAAGAGATAGAGGGGGTGAGAAGGGCACCAGGAAGAAAAGTACAGGACATCCTTGAGCCAGGACGGACCCCAGCGACGGTGCGTCGGAAGGGGTACAGCAGACATTATCCCTGCAATCAGGTGGGACAGGCGCGGCGGGCGCTGCCCACTCTGGTTACATATGCAGGAGCGGCAGGATATGCGTGGGCAGCAGGGGAACCGGGTCCAGGACTCATATATGATCACAAGAAGAAGCGGTGGGAGGAGCCGACCGCGCTGGAGCGGGAGCTGGCCTTGGGATATGGGGAGAATGCAACGGCGGCTCCTGGGGTGAGCGAGGCCGACAGGAGGAGGGCCCTAGGGAACGCCATGGACGGCAAAGTGATGAGATGGCTGGTCCAGCGGATGTGGAGAGAGACAGTGGTGAGCTGGGGGCAGGAGGAAGGAGAAGGGGGCATGGAACCACGCCCTCAGGGAGCGTGGGCATGCCAGGAGAAGGAGGAAGAGACGTGGAAGGTAGGGGGGGCGATGAGCGATGAAGGGAAGGAAGTTATGCTACGGCTGCTGACCAAACACCGACAGTGCTTCGCCTTCAACCTGCAGGAGTTGGGAAGGTGCAAGGTGAAGGAGATGGAGTTGAAGCTGAGCAGTGCGGAGCCCGTGTTCCACTGGAGGAGGAAGATGCCGCACGGGGATGAGGAAGTCTGCAAGGAGAAAATCAAGGAGCTGCTGGAGGCCGGGTTGATTAGGCGGTCGGAGTCGGAATATGCCACGCCCACAGTAGTAGCTGCAAGGAAGGACCTGACGGGGAAGGTCCTGAGCAGGAGGATGTGCGGGGATTACCGGGCGCTCAACAAGATCACAGTAGCTGACAGGTACCCCATGCCCATGGCAGAAGAGATATTTGACAAGTTAGCGGAGGGGGTCTTCTTCACCATGTTGGACCTGCAGCAGGGGTTCAACCAAATCAAGATCAGGGAGGAGGACATCAAGAAGACGGCCTTCCATGGGCCGGATGGGCTGTATGAGTGGCTGTACATGCCCTTCGGGCTGAGGAACGCATTGGCAGTGTTTCAGCAGGTTATGGATGCAGTGCTGAGGGATGTGGAATGCGCGGCGTGCTACATAGATGACGTAGTGATCTTCAGTGCTACCGAGCAGCAGCACTTGCAGGATGTGGAGAGGACACTGGCGGCAATAGAAGCGGCAGGACTCACATGTCACCCCAAGAAGTGCAGGTGGGGTGAGGAGACAGTGCAGTACCTGGGATACGAGGTGAAGGGAGGACAGATTGGGATCCAGCAGGCTAAGGTAGAGATATTGGACAGGCTGCGGGAGCCAAAGGACAAGTCGGGGCTGAGGGCGGTGTTAGGCTTCCTCAGCTACTACAGGAGGTTCGTGCCCAACTTCAGCAAACGAGCAACAGCATTGAATGGGCTGCTAAGGGAGGACAGGGCATGGGAATGGGGAGAGGCTCAGAAGGGAGCCCTGCAGGACCTTATGACAGCGGTGAAGACGGCGACCGTGTTACGGCTGCCGGTAGCAGACCAGCCATTCACCCTCTACACCGACTGGAGCAGCCAAGGAATGGGAGGGTTACTCTGCCAGGAGGTGCAAGGGGAGGAGAAGGTGGTGGCCTACGCGAGCAGGAGCTGCAACTCGGCGGAGGCGCAATACAGCTCGTACATAGGGGAGGGACTGGCGGCAGTATGGGCGGTGGGGCATTTCAGAGTGTACCTGCAGGGACGGGAGTTCACCTTGGTGACGGATCACCAGCCACTGACATGGCTGATGACTACGCCGGGACTGACAGGCAGGAACGCACGGTGGGCGATGAAGCTGCAGGAATACGATTTCAAGATCAAACACCGGCCTGGAAAGACTCTACAGCACGTGGATGGCCTCTCTCGAAACCCCCCACAGCTGGAACCGAGCGTAACCTTAACACTGCTGGCCAGACAGGTAGAAGTGGGTGGGGCCAAAAGGGGCAAGGGACCAGCAGATATTTGGGAGGATGAGCAGGCCATGCGGTGGGTAAAAGGGGAGACAGGGGAGGATGAGGAGATGACGGAGAGAGTGAGGGCGAGGGGGAACCACTACAGGTGGTATCAGCAGCAGTTACAGATACAAACCGAGGATGGATGGAAGCTGGTGCCAGCACCTAGTGACAGAGAAGCAGTGATCAAGGAGGTGCACACGAAACTGGGGCATTTCGGACATGAGAGGACGGTGCAGCTGCTGAAGACAGGGTGGTGGTGGGAGGGGATGCGGAGGCAAGTGAAGGGCTGGGTGGAGGGCTGTGAGGCATGCCAGAGGAGCAGGGCAAATCTCAGCCAGGCCAAGGCCGAACTGCAGTCCCTGCCCATCCGAGACTTAGGCTTCAGGTGGTCCTTGGACCTGGCCGGGGAATCGCTTCTGAGTCGGGGGGGTAAGCAATACATCGTGCTCATGGTGGAGCACGTGAGCAAGTGGCTAGAGGTAAGGGCAAGTGGCTAGAGGTAAGGGCAATACCGAGCAAGATCTCAAGGCAGGTGGCAGCGGCATTCAAGGAGCAGGTAATCTGCAGATTTGGGGCATGTGCAGAAGTCCTCACAGATCAGGGAACCGAGTTCCAGGGAGACTTCAAGATGCTGCTGGAAGAGACGGGGATCACTCACAGACGCACCTCCCGCTACCACCCACAGAGCGATGGGTTG